TTTACTGTGCTTTTGATTAAATAAATGCAGCCTTTGTGAGAATAATAGACTTCTTTCAAAAATATTAAACAAATATAAACAACATTTACACAATAGCCATATGTTTTAGTACAAAATAGTATTTTTATTTTATATAGTCTTTTATATTCAACTGAAGGACAGAATTGAGAGCAGGAAGTGATGGGGAGGAGAGGTACGGGATCTTGAAATGATAGCAAGTAAAGGACAGTGACTAGGCATGTCAGTACAGATAACAAACGCCTGATAGTCCTCCTCTATCCCATATCAGATATTTGCTTTTGTAAGAAACAAAAAGGAGAAGGACAGAGGCAGGAGTTGTGTTATACAGTACTATGTGTAGAGCAGAAACTGTGTCCAATTGACTGTATTGTCACTGTGTTCATACTCCAGGAGAAATGCGTGCATTCAGAGGCTGTCTATTGTCAGTGGTATCAGCTGGAGGGAGAGCTGTATGGTAATGACGGCAGCAGGCAGCAGAGAAGGGTGTTTCCAGGTTCACTGCATTAGACTGCTGTCTCGCTTTTTTCAATTCATTTCCCTCAGCTCTCAGAAGAACAGGGCGCTCACGCACACACAGGTACACAAACACACATACATTTTCCACAGAAATGTCACATATTTCATTAGTAACAAGCTCTGGATCGTGATAATCTGTCACAGGGCGTTTTCAAGGGAATGAAGCACTAATATAAAAACCTGTTTAATCAACTGGTTTTCACAAGCCACATTCAAAACGTATGTTAACTTCATTACAAGCCACTAAAGCAGCCTGTTTCAGCTCCGCTGACTTTTTATGCTACATTAGAAACCAATGTCGTGGAATCTACTTAAAATTATGGGAAGCTTGTAGTGTGAAAAGCTGCAGTTTCAGTGTAATTCTTCTACAATAAACTACTTTTTAATTATAATTTTCTACATAACTTTATGTACAAATGTACCTTTAATAAATTTCTATGTGTATGTATAGAAATTATATATATATATAAAAAAATTGTAATACAAGCTTTTGTGTATGTATATTATATAAATGTACATATACCTGGTATTTGTCAAAGCTGCATTTATTTGATCAAATGTACTGTGAAATATCAATAATATTGCAAAATATTATTACAGTTTAAAATGGTAATTTTCAGTTTTATGACATTTTAAAATGTTTAAAACTATTCCTGTGATGGCAAAGCTGATTTTTCAGCAGCCATTATTCTAGTCTTCATGATCCTTGAAGCAGTTATTATTAATAAGTTTTAGGTATTTTTTTTTTTCATATAAAAATTATGTACATTTATACATAAAATGTGGTTAGGGTTATAAAATACATTATATTTTTTATTGTGTGTGTGTGTGTGTGTATGTACATAATGTAGTTAAGGGTGGGGTGTGTAATTTCAGTGCCACTTGCAGCACCAAATGGAATTGTAAAAAATAATTTTCCCCTTTTGCCATTGTTTGGACAGACAGGTCGTAATTCCCTAAATTCATGCCATTCTTTGATCCAGTGTCACTTGTCAAAATGTTCTGATTTTCACAAAAAGATTCTGTTAGGTGCTGCTAGTGGCTTGACAATTACACATTTCACCTTTAAAGGGGTGGTTGATTGTTTTTTTTCTAGGCTTGATTGTATTTATGGGGTGCAGTCTAATGTGTTAATGCTTCGTTTAAAAAACACTGTAAGGATCCAACCCGCCAGCCCAAAAAGCGGAATCCAGCGGCCTGGTTTAAGGTTTAATGCGTATTCGGTCTTTTACTTGCGCTTCTGAATTTATCAGGATTAGTTTAAATTTTAGTCTAGCTCCGTGTTCAATCTGACTCCAATTTCACGTGATCAGTTTTTAATTAGAAATATTGCTTTGAAATATTGCCTAACTTTAATGATCACAAATATTAATTTAGATATTTGATTATTCCGGACTCACTATACTTTCAATTATCCGTTCACTGGGGACCTAATGTCTCTTTTAAGTCTCACGCTGGCCTTGCGTAGATCTTACGGTCACAAACTCGCCAGTCTGATGCTAGTCAGAGGGTGTAGATAGACTAATACCTATTTTGCCTGCCGCCTACTGCTTGCTTATGACAAAAAATGTAATTCACTTAGTCCTTTCCCGTACAACTTGCTAACATCGGCGATAGACAGAAATCAGAAGGTCTCCGATGACGTGCCGACTGCTCCTATCATTCACAAGCCTTCAGTTTGATCTATCCTGGCCATAGATTTGCGGTAACAAAAGCCTCCTCACAGTTTACTAGTCATAATGACTTCAAGAAAAGTTCAGAATAAATAACGAGCCGCTACGAGCCGTTTTTGTAGGCAGAATTTTTGTCCAGAATTTTAAAACACGATATCTCCGTTTGCATTGAACATTCAGCGCCGCAACTTTGCATATATTGTTTATGCTCAAACAGCAACATTACACACTAACTAACATTAAAAAAGTGAAATCGCAGTCAACCACGCCTTTAAGTTAGTAGCATCGCTACATTTTATTAGCGACTCCCCAACACGGACTTAACTTGTGTTAAATGTGTGTTCTCTGAAGGTAGCAGGAGATATGCAGGAGACGTGGGGGAATGATGTGTTGGCTTATTCGACATTCAGTTTTGGCAAAGTGCAGCTGTAAATAATACCATCCCTCCCACCCTACCCCCTGTAGAATGTTTGAACAGACCAGAGGATGGGCAGAGAGTGTATTTATAACGCAGCCGCCCCACAGGGCCAACACAAACTCACACAACACTCTCACTTACACCACAGATGCACCTGCTCAACTTTGTTTTGTCAGGTTATGTTGCAACAAATCTTGATTTATCATGTGGCAGGAACAGGACGGTCTCCCGACAGCAGAAGCAAACCGTTTTGGGCTGTAATTCTTAAGGTTATATATCACAGGTTCATATCTGAGCCACAGAACGCCACATTTGGCCTTGAAATATTGACAGTTGCAAGTAAAAACAGAAGGTTTATATCACCCGCCAATCTTCTTGATGGATGAGCGACTGTCTGTGTGTGTTGTGTGTGTAGTGAGTGTGTGCGTAATAGGGCTGGGCGATATAGCTAAAAAATGTATCGACGATATAATGTTTCATATCGTTCGGTATCGATAATTATTGACAATTTTATAACCTTTTTTAAAACAAAAAGCAATAGAAAAACTTTTTTTTAAATTTAACCACTGTATTTATAATTAACACAATTTATTGAGACAAACAACAAATATTTTTTGTTTTAACAATCAAACACAATAAAAATTAAACAGTACAAAACCTCCCGAACAAAAACACACATGAACAGGAAGGGGAAATGAGCGATCTCTTATGTAAACAGATGCATATGAAAAATAACGCGATCATCAGCAATAGACAGCATATAAATGAAAACTGCATAATGTTACAGAGTAAAATGTTGATCCAGGAAGTACGCATCTTCTGAACGAGTACAAAACCTCCCGAACAAAAACACACATGAACAGGATGGAGAAACTAGCGATCTCTTATGTAAACAGATGCATATGAAAAATAATGCGATCATCAGCAATAGACAGCATATAAATTAAAACTGCATAATGTTACGAAGTAAAATGTTGATCCAGTAAGTGGTATATGTCTGTGCAAGCTTTGGAGGTATTGATGGAAGCGATTTACTGGATTTATGCTTTGATAATCGTACTAAATATTATCCAAATATAGTTTTTAATTAAAAATTTGATTTTCTCACCTTTTTTCTCAAAATTATGCATTTTTTTAAATGAAACCTACCTATATTAAAGTGTTGATAAAAAAAGAATGCTTTAAGCTAGAATAAAACTGATTTTTTTTGTTTAAAAGTAGAGGCTCTGATCTTTATTTTGTTGTATTGCATATTCAAATATTCATACAGCAAAATATACTGGAGGTAATGACAGAATTTTCATTTTGGGGTGAACTATCCCTTTAAAGGTGAGATCACATTTAACATTGCTCTGTTAAGTTTCACAAGCGAAATCAAGTAATTTCAGTTGCTACACAGATTTCTGCTCATGTCACACAAATTCAACATGTTGATCAACAGAAAGCTGCTTGGTTTGAAAGCGACTACATCTCTGTGCTATAGACAATGGAGGTTTTTTGATGTTTTAATCTGACTGCACCTTAAGGCTTCAGAAGTCCTGAAGGGCTGCAAATTATGGAAACTGGCAGCAGTACTTTTTCACTTGTAGTCTTCAGTCGGCAGTTGTTAGTAACGTCCCTCGCGGTTCAGATGCAGAGGTGCTCCAAGATGAGAGACGTCACGGTAAATTAAACTCTGAAGCTTAGAAACTCTGGGTCCACATTTCTGAGGTTTAATTTCTGGAAGCCCAGGATGGTTCCCTGTCGCAAATGAAATGTTTATACTGCAACGCATGGCCAGAGGCACATGCTGTTATAGTTTAGACACTCTCATTAGAATAACCACAGATGATTGCATACCAACACACGTGCTGCCTGTGGAGAGACACAAACACACACACTCACACGTCGGGGAAAAACAAGTTCCCAAAAATATCAGTCACATGTCCCTGTAAATCCAGGCTTATCTGTTGTAGCGTCTGGGGTTTCTGGTTTCCAGAGGACATGTCTCTGACTCCGTGTTGCTTCAGAGGACGAATGGGGAGATGGAGGAAACGCCATTGAATGAAATATGGATTTATGGGTCATGAGCCGTAATCTAAATCATATTAATCTCTGCTCGATTATTGGGGTCAGCGTAATTTCTGGTTGCTGCTTAAGTGATTGTTGATAATTTGTGGACAGTGATTCAGTACAGCAGTGGATGCTATTAGTTTTGTAGAGAAGAAAATTACACTTTGTATTCAAAGCAAACTCATATTAGGGTAATTGACTAAATGTTTCTGATAACAACTTTTGAGTGCATTCCTGATGCGCTTTTGACCATTGTTGACCTGATCAACAGTAAAAAAGGCTCAGTACTTATTTTTACCCAGTGTCCTCTGCTCTGACAGGAGGACTATGATCGCCTGCGACCCCTGTCCTACCCCATGACAGATGTTTTCCTCATTTGCTTCTCCGTGGTGAATCCGGCCAGCTTCCAGAACGTGAGAGAGGAGTGGGTCCCTGAGCTGCAGGAGTACGCACCCAACGTCCCTTACCTGCTCATCGGCACTCAGGTACGCACACCTGCTGCTACATACAACAGCAATATAATATTCCATATACTCTAACTGTATACTTTTTGTAATTGTATGTGAAACAGTGCAGAAATGAGCAAAAACCATTTAAAACACTATACGCTACAGTATACTATTGTTGCTACTGTGGCTTTATTGTGTCTCTTTATTTTCTTGGAAATATTTCTATTCAAATTGTTACTTTTTTGCAGTCTGTTTAAATCATAAATATGAAGAATATACACACAAAATTGTATTGTGCCATCTCAGGCTATGCAATTTATTATTTTATGACTATTTTTCTACCTCATGTTTTGGTATTTTTGTCAACCCTGTTACAGACACAAGCGTTACTATAGTTACTATAGTTTAATTAGAACTATGTCATAGTTTTCACATATATGAGCAGCATTTTAGTCCCTCTTTTCACTAGGATTGTTTGAAATTTTGGATTAAAAAAAAAAATGTTATATTTGTCATTCAGATGAATTATAACATCCTAATTTACAAGAGAGATCTTAAAAAAGGGCTTTGTCCAAAATAAAATATAATTAAAGTTACAATGGAAAAACATAGGCTGTATCAAATATAATTTTTACAATTTTTATGAAATTAGTGACCGCAAAAGGACTGACGTCATAGGACTGACCAGAGAAACAGGGATGACAGGACACACAATCTTCAGCACAATGCACATATTTGTTTACATAATACTGTGAAGTTTTACCATTTTAAATTGCATTAAATTGTTTTGCACTTACTTGGTATAGTTGTATGACAATAGTAAACAGTAAATTTTTCAGTTAACATCAGTTCAGTGTTGATTTAGCACATTACATTTCTAAGGGATCTAATGTTTTTTAAAGGTATTGTAATTAGACAATGCATTCCAACTGTGTGTTATGAGGAAAAAATTGTTTTAATGAGACTGATCATCCTATCCCGGTCATTAACAATTACAACAATAATAGTAACAATACCAGCAATACTAACTAAAAATGTAACTGATGCTCATATGCCAACCACACTGAATGATATAGGCATTATCTCAATAATACACCCAGGGTGACCTTTAAAATGTTTGAATTTTACACAGATTAGGTATCACCCTGTATTTAAAGATTTTCTATGTCATCCCTGTTACCGGCATGTCAAAACCTGTTACTCTGAAAAGTAACGGGGCTGACAGTAACAGGTTTGTCGATTTCAAACTAATTTGCTAATTGCTAACTAAAAGTCCAGTTCACAAAAGCACATGTTGTACACTTTGAAAGGATGTTACTTGTAGATATTGATTATATTAAAAGTAAAAAAATAATTTGTTTAAATTTACATTTTAAAAATGGTAACAGACAGTATTGACATTGCATGATGTCCCCGCTCAGTCCAGCCTCATAAATCATCAAAAAAAGAACATTATAGAGGAGTAAGAGAAACATGCTTTTGTTTTAAGTGTTGGGATTCTGGTTGAGAGGTGATGTAACCTCCTAGAATGATGTCACCTGAATGTACCATTATTTTACAAGGGTTTTTTGATGATGGTAAACAGGGCTGACATGAAATTAGGGGACACCAATAAAATGATTTATATTTTATAGAAAAATGTACACTTATGCCAAAAACATTGCTTAACAATGAGACTTTATGTAGAACAATATGTAAATGTGATTTTTATATAATTTTGCCTTCATTTTGCTAAATAAATGTCCTGCTGAAAAAGAAAAATCATAGTGAGGGACAGGCCAAAAACCTTACCCTCATCAGCATAAATGCTATTAAAATTATTTAAAATTATATTTTTTATGTAATATTGATGAAAGAATACATAGTATTATGTTTTTATCGTACATTTATGTTAATTCTATGTTTGATTATTTCTTAGGGACACAAAAGGCACCAATTTTGTGGAATGACCCATTTTTACACACACACACACACACTAAAAAAATCAGTTGTTTTAAATGCTACAAGTGAATTTAGGCATCACAGTATTAGAATGTACAATTTAATATGGATATGCATTTTGAGAAAAATGACATTTAAAATTGCTATTAAATTGTATTTTGTTGTTGTTGTTTTTATTTTTTCCAATATTGTTCTACATATGTGACCCTGGACCACAAAACCAGTCATAAGGGTAAATTTTTTTAATTGAGATTTATACATCATAAATAAGCTTTTCATTGATGTATGGTTTGTTAGGATAGGACATTATTTGGCCGAGATACAACTATTTGAAAATCTGGAATCTGAGGGTGCAAAAAAATCTAAATACTGAGAAAATCGCCTTTAAAGTTGTCCAAATTAAGTTCATAGTAATGCATATTACTAATCAAAAATTAAGTTTTGACATATTTACGGTAGGAAATTTACAAAATATCTTAATGGAACATGATCTTTACTTAATAGCCTAATCATTTTTGGCATAAAAGAAAAATCTATAATTTTGACCCATACAATGTATTTTTGGCTATTGCTACAAATATACCCCAGCGATTTATGACCGCTTTTGTGGTCCAGGGTCACATATAGTACATATATCCAATATCAACCAATACTGATAAGTAAAAATATATCTAATATCAGCCGATAACCAATATGGTTCAATATATTGTAAATCCCTATGATAGGCCGCCTATTGCATATGTAGCCCAAGCACATTTATTTTCTGTTTTTGTTCGTTCTGTGGTGACTGTCAGAATTACTGATGCTACATATATTTATGTTCTGGGAGAATCTAATGTGATTGTAACTGATGTTTGGTTAAACTGTGGTAATATTGTTGATTGAATATATTGATTTATGTGCCATCATGAAAGGTTCAGTCATACAGTGTTCACAGCATGATATCGTCAATGAAATTGTCTGTATTACTGTAACCTGTGTGTTAAGAGTGAGGGTTTGTCACCAGCCAGTTTATTGCTGTGTGCACGCTTCCTGTCTTAATCAGACCACAGAGTGAGATGAATACACATGCATTTGCAATCAATAAGAAAGGGGGCCAGAGAAAGTCATAGGACCAAGGACACTGAATAAGAGCTGCATGATAAACCGGGATAAAACCAAAATCATGATATGGCTTAGTGCGATTATCAAAGCTGCTCCATGCAAACTCTTCTGTGCACCTGTATCTGAGTTTGGGCCACTTTAATGTGCATTTAGGAATGCAACATGCTTTCCATACTTGTAATGAGGATCACTTATCAACAAAAAAGATAAATATTAGTATTGTAAATTTTTCAGCTGCAATGAAATGTAATCCTTTTCTGGATATGCAGTAAATGAATTCCAAGTATTGAGTTTGGAAGAGTTTATTTAATGTAAAATTGACCTCAGTGAAATATTAGTATTTATATCGGAGTATTATTTCTTATTTAGTTTTTTAGTAGTAGTAATAATAATTATTCCACAAAATAATAATTATCATTCTATAGCAATATTTTTTTTAGGCATAATGATATATAACCACAATTTTTTGACCACAATGCAGCAAACTTTTCGCAGTCATGATTTTTTGAGTTTAATTGATCGAACCCTACACTGAACCCTACACTTCTGCTGGTGACATATTTAAAGGAAACCTTTTCAATTTGTGCTCCACATGCCTAATTGAAAGATGTGCAGGAAGCGCTGCTCTGTGTGGTGGTTTTGGTAATACGTCAGTGGATGTATGGAGAGCGGCTTTTTGTGGAGAGGAGCTGGCAAAAACTCAAACTCAGATGAAGTGGAATTTTAATTGGAAACAGTGAAGACGGAGACCCTCCTAGACAACTGCAGTGGTACTTTTTCGGTGAAAGGGGAGTCTGCAGATGCATGCCACCATCTGGTCTTGGGTTGAATTTCCTGGAGCCTTCTGCTCTAAAAACAAGCCCCATCGTATGGAATCTCATCCGCCGTCCTCAAAAGAAATACAGAGAGCACATGTGCTTTTACAGTTAACCCCTCATGTGAGCTTGCTTAACTGTGACTTTGTCTCCATTTTTGGCTGTAGATTGACCTGCGGGACGACCCCAAGACTATTGCCAAGCTGAACGACGTGAAGGAGAAGCCCATTGTGACAGAACAAGGCCAAAAGCTAGCAAAGGAGGTGAGAAATGGATACTTCCTCTTTCTCAAGAACAAAATAAAACTGAAACTTTGTACTAAGAAAAACTCAGACGTGAGTCAAAAGGAAAGCAAAAAGATTGTCGTGGCTTACTGGTTAGAAAAAAATAAAGTGTAATTTTCTATGCCTTTCCAGATTGGTGCCTGCTGTTATGTTGAATGCTCAGCACTGACACAGAAAGGGCTGAAGACTGTGTTCGATGAGGCCATTATAGCCATTCTGGCTCCTAAGAAAGGTGCGCTCAAGCGAAGACTGGGCCCACGCTGCATCAACTGCTGCCTCATCACATGATACACCAGCTCAAGGGCATCCAGTGAACTGACAGTTACCAGCTTACAACCAACCAGATTTTAATCTGACTTCTGAACTAAAGCAAGGCGAACCAATGGTCCCAGACACCTACAAGTCCAAGTTATGGGCGAATGACAAGAGGAACTGACAAAAAGACATATTGTTCAAGGAGAAGTGACACAAGAACACTAAACATTGAGAATGGAATACAAAGAAAATGGACAAAATGATTTATTGAACATACAAGCACAGAGAACAGACACCCAAAACAATCGAACTGTAGTTCCGTGTCGGGCTCAGCAAGCATGAGTTCATTTGCGAGATGAAACCCAGACAAGCCTAAACAGCACAACCAAACCCATCGGTCATTTACAGAAGCAAGACTTTCTTCAAAAAGGGAAACTCAGCATCTCAATTTGGGTTGCGAAATACTTGCTTTTTACAAAATGTCTCAAGTCATTACTGGCTTTATTTACAGGAAGAACGAGAGGAATGATTGAATAAATATACTGCCATTAGGAGCATACATCAAATTCAATATCTATTCTACAAAAAACAAACACCGAAACAACAGATTTTTTTATTGTTGTAAATGGGACCTCAGAGTCAGGCAGCATTTCTTAGAGCATGTACTGGGACGGACAGTCGGTTTTTGACTCCAGCCTGGATCTCTTTCTCTCTCAGTTCCTGGTGGCCTGTGATTGTGTCCTCCTTTTCCTCACTTGAGCTTGTAGGTGAGCTGTTTGCGATGCCAGTGGATCCAGACAGGAGCAGCGAGGAGACCAGTCAGAAATCCAGTAGTTGCCCCAAGGGTACAGGAGATGGGCCAAACCTGGATATAAGAGCCAGAAAATAAAGATCAAAACTGTAATTTTGCAGGAGCACAAGTGACTTGACTGCAAATTCTACAGAATCACTGTGGTGTTTTACCAACCAAATTTTCTATTCGAGACTGCTTTATTCCTCTTTCTTTTTTTTAACGTAGAGTTTTGAGTGTTACTTATTGATGGCCTTGCCTCTCAGGTGTGTCCCGACTGCTTTGCATTTAGAATTTTTGCTTCATATGATCAAGGTTATTTCAAATGTTGATTTTTTTTTTTTTTAATGAATTTCTTGCAGTCCATGCAAATATGTGGAGTGGTCTGAGTGGTCTTTAAAGCTTCCAGCACATTCTGAGCAACAAAAAAAGCCTTTATAAATAGTAGATATATGGAATGCAAATCTAAAAATTAAAAGGCACAATGGTTTTATGGGAGAACATAATATGTAAACTTGCTGTTGATGCCCAATGCGCAGTGGATAAACAAAATGTAAATTTAATGACTTGACTCAAAATGTTTACTGAGTATAAAACAGGTTTTTCTAAAATTTTGCCTTTTTTATTTAGTCGTGTTGCTTCTTCATATAGATTTGAATGCCTTATTTCAGTCTTGCACATAAAAAAATTAAAATATGCAATTATTTTTCTGTTATATTAAGAAAAATAATTCATATTATACCAATTAAATTACACATAATTAATGCTACCGTTCAAACGTTTGGGGTCAGTAAGAATGTTTTGAAAGAAATTTCTTGTGCTTACCAAGTCTGCATTTTTATTTGATCAAAAATATGGTAAAAACACTAATATTATTGCAGTAATTATTATTTAAAATAAAGGTTTTCTATTTTAAATGTAATTCATTCCTGTGATGGCAAAGCTGAATTTTCAGCATCATCACTCCAGTCTTCAGTGTCACATGATCCTTCTGAAATCATTTTAATATGCTGACTTGGTGCAACATTTCTTATCAATGCTGAAAACAGTTGAGCTTTTTTTTTTTTTGTGGAAACCAAATTTTTTTTTTTTATTCTTTGATGTAAAGTTCAAAATAATAGCATGTTTAAAATATAATGTACTTGTCAGATTTAATCAATGCCATGCATCCTTTCTGAATAAAATAAATTTTTTATATATAAAAAAATAAAAGAATGACCCTAAACTTCTGAATACATAGAGAGAGAGAGAAGCACTAATTTCTGTCTGTTTTATACAGAGAATGAGATTTCTTCCCTTCACACTTGATCTCAAAATGACTGAAGAATTGTGTCTCAGAATAAAAACAAAATGTCAGCAAAATTGATTATTCAGTTATCTCAAGACCATATTATGGGCTGCAATATTACAAGAGTGTCATGACAATGAGAAGGAGAGAGCCTGTGTGAGTCATTCTCTAAACTAAAGCTAGACATCTGGATTGAACCACCCCAGAGTTTCTCGTTAGTTCAGGAATCACTGTACGCCAGCCTCACTCCCCTCCCTACAGCTTCCTCTCTCCCATAATGAATCAGTCTCATCTCTCTGCTCTCGTCTAGACATCTGTGTGTAGACAGCGTGTCAAAAAGCACACATGGGAGACTTCAGTGTGACATTTTGAGGCACAAAACGAGGGCAAACACTGGCCTCTGATCAATGTCTCTGTACAACACATGAATAATTGAAGTATATTGTTTAAGACCATAAGTTTATTGGTTGAGAGGATGTGTATATTGTCTAAAAGGGTTTTTAGTGTTAACTACACATCATTTGTTTTCTATTTGACAATGATCCCTAGTATAATGATTTTTTTCTATTTTTTATATATATTTTTCAAGCCTGCATTTATTTGATCACAAACCCGTAATCTTCTGAAATATTATTCTAATTTAAAATAACTCTTTTATATATTTTAAAATATAATTTATTCCTGCAATGGCAAAGTTGAATTTCCACCAGCCATTCCACCAATCTTCAGTGTCACATGATCCTTGCAGAAATCATTTTGATATGCTGATTTGGAGCTCAATTATTATCTGATTATTATCTATGTTGAAAACAAATTTTTCTGCTTAATATTTGTGTGGAAACAATGATACCTTTGTAATCGGAATTCTGATCAACAGAAAGAACTCTAATGGAAATCTAACGTTTAGTATGATTTCTGAGTGATCATGTGACACCGTCTCTAGAGTAATGGCTGCTGAAAATTCAGCTTTGCCATCACAGGAATAAATTACATGTTAAAATATATTCTATTAGAAAAAAAGTTATTTTAAATTGTAATAATATTTCACAATATTACAGTTTTACTGTATTTTGATTAAATAAACGCAGCCTTGGTGAGCATAAGAGATGTCTTTCAAAAATACTCAGAAAATTGTAATTATTCCAAACTTTTAGGTGGTAGTGTAGATGTAATTGTGATATAAAAAATAACGTTTTATGTGAGTGAGAACAAATATATACATATAACTTTTTTTTTCATACAATGAAGGTCAGTGGGGTCTAAAGCAACATTGGACCCCACTGGCTTTCATTATATGGCCATAAACAGAGCATCAAAATCTTTATTTGTTTTGTGCATTAGAAAAATTACAGGTTTTTCAATGAGAACGAGTAAATTAATTTAAATTTTTGGTAAACTATCCCTTTTTAAGAAATGTAATAACTAGGCGTGATGGACAAAAATACTGTTTTTTTTTTTTGCAAACAGAAGAATGATTTTGAATGAATATATACAAAATGTTATAAACAGAAAGCACAAACTAAAACTAAAAGTTAAACAAAACCAAAATATTTATACAAAGCAATTTCTCTGGCATGTTCCTCCTTTCTGAGGTTTAATGCAGAATGAGAGCAAGAGCTCTGAAACAAGGAACTTTCTACTGAAAATCTGCTCTTCACTGAGAACTAACCAATGCTCTCATTAAGCGACATTATTATTTTTTTCCTTCTCCCAAAACAGCTTATACTACTGTTTCAGCTATTAAAATAGTTCCGTTTTGTATGTAATGTCAAAGTGATTATATTTCGTTTCGTTTTTTTTATTAAGTTAATTTAGAAAAACTTTTGGAGCATTTTTTTGTTCATTAAATGTAAGTTTTTGGGTTTTTTTTGACAGTGAGCTGATCATAGCCTATGTTTGATCACTTTAGCCTTCTCAAATCATCACGACTTGCCTAAAATAAAATCTATAGATATAAAACAGTTCAAGCATATCACAATGTTAGTTTAAATGTTTAACCTATATAAATGTGCGCTATTAGATGCATATCTAATCGTTTGTGCGGAGAGCTAAAGCGCGCTTTACAGGACATGGAGGAGCCGGCGCGATCACTTGCATTGGAAACAACTTAAAATATACATTTAAATATTAAAAATATAATAATACTTATAATAATAATAATAATATAATACTTAAAATATGCCGTAATTATTGCTCATAAAAGGTAAGAGTAATACATCACTCGGAACTGTAAAGCGTCTACTTTTATTTGTGTGCACTCACAATATCAACAAAACGTTGTGCTTTTATAAAATAAAGAAATCAA